CTATAAATGCAACCAAATTTACAAGCTTCAAACCAACACCTCAAATCCACCACAAGTATACTTGTAAACCTCATCGCTCCCTTCTTGATCTTGTTGTTAATCACCAAAACTGCATTTAATCTATCATCCCCAATTCCAAGTTCATTCAAGATTTATAAACATGGCTTCTGGGAGCAAAGCAAGTTCTGGGTTTCACCCACAGCAAGTTCAACCTCAAAACCCTTCTACATCATCAACGCCTAGGGTTGATTCAATGAGTAAAGCCATTGCACAATACGCAGTCGATGCTAGATTACACGCTGTTTATGAAGAATCCGGTGAATCTGGTAAGTCTTTTGATTACTCCCAGTCAATCAAAACAGCCACCGATTCAATCGCCGAACAACAAATGACTGCTTATCTATCCAAAATTCAAAGAGGTGGTCACATTCAACCCTTTGGTTGTATGATTGCTATCGATAATTCTAGTTTTAGAGTAATTGCGTTCAGTGAAAATGCTAGAGAACGATTAGGTTTAGCACCACAATCCGTTCCCAGTCTGGAAAAAACCGAAATTTTAACAATTGGAACTGATGTCAAAACCCTTTTCACCCCTTCGAGTGCTATATTGCTCGAAAGGGCTTTCCGAGCTCGAGAAATTACCCTCCTGAACCCTGTCTGGGTTCACTCCAAGAATTCCGGTAAACCATTTTACGCGATTCTGCACAGAATCGATGTTGGTATAGTTATCGATTTGGAACCTGCTAGAACCGAGGATCCCGCTTTATCAATTGCTGGAGCTGTTCAATCTCAGAAGCTCGCCGTTCGAGCCATTTCAAATTTACAGGCGTTGCCAGGTGGCGATATTAAGCTTTTGTGTGACACCGTTGTACAAAACGTGAGAGAGCTCACTGGTTACGATCGTGTAATGGTCTACAAGTTTCACGAAGATGAACATGGTGAAGTGGTGGCGGAATGCAAGAGGCCTGATTTGGATCCTTATCTCGGGTTACATTATCCCGCAACTGATATCCCACAGGCTTCAAGATTCTTGTTTAGGCAGAATCGTGTCAGAATGATAGTTGATTGTCACGCTAACCCTGTTCCTGTAATCCAAGACGATTCTTTGATGCAGCCTTTGTGTTTAGTAGGGTCCACCCTTAGGGCCCCTCATGGTTGTCATGCTCAATACATGGCTAACATGGGTTCAATAGCTTCATTAGCTTTGGCAGTAATCATCAATGGAAACGAAGATTCCGGAGGGGGGAGATCGGCAATGGGGCTATGGGGGTTAGTAGTTTGTCACCATACATCGGCACGATGCATTCCGTTTCCATTACGTTACGCGTGTGAATTCTTGATGCAAGCTTTTGGACTCCAACTAAACTTGGAATTACAATTAGCTTCTCAAATGTTGGAAAAACGGATTCTAAGAACACAAACTTTGTTATGTGATATGCTCCTACGCGATTCCCCTACCGGAATCGTGACTCAAAGTCCAAGCATCATGGATCTTGTGAAATGTGATGGTGCTGCTCTTTTTTACCAAGGAAAGTACTATGCGGCCGGAATCACACCAACGGAATCAGAAATCAAAGATATAGTGGAATGGCTATTGGCATGTCATACTGATTCCACCGGTTTAAGCACCGATTCATTAGCGGATGCCGGTTACCCTCACGCCGCTTCACTTGGTGATGCGGTTTGTGGGATGGCAGTTGCTTATATAACTTCAAAAGATTTCTTGTTTTGGTTCCGGTCCCACACCGCAAAAGAGATGAAATGGGGTGGAGCTAAACATCATCCGGAAGATAAAGATGATGGGCAACGAATGCATCCACGTTCTTCATTCAACGCGTTTCTAGAAGTTGTGAAGAGTAGAAGTTTGCCATGGGAGAATGCTGAGATGGATGCAATCCATTCTTTACAACTTATTTTAAGAGATTCGTTTAAAGAAGAACGTGATTCCAATTCCAAAGCTGTAGTCAAGATTCAAAGTGAGGAAATGGGGTTGCAGGGAATGGATGAACTTAGTTCGGTTGCAAAAGAAATGGTTCGATTGATTGAAACTGCAACTGCTCCCATATTTGCTGTTGATGTTGAAGGAAGAATAAACGGATGGAATGCAAAGATTGCAGAGTTGACTGGTCTTTCGGTTAGTGAAGCTATGGGGAAATCATTGGTTCAAGATCTCATTTTTAAAGAATCACAAGAAACCGTCATCAGACTTCTTCATCATGCTTTACAAGGTACTTCTTTATGTCCTCTATATCATTCCAACATTTCATGGTTTCAAAGTTTATTGTTTTTTGATGGCAAGATTTCAAGATTGCAAAGTGTCTTGATTTTTAATGCCAAGATTTCAAATTTGCAAACTTTCTTGCTTTTCAATGCCATGATTTCAAGTTGCAAAGTTTATCTCTTTTTTTTTTTCATACCAAGATTTCAAGATTGCAAAGTTTCCTGCTTTTTAATGCCAATATTCAAGATTGCAATTAAAGATTCTTGCTTATTATGCCAAGATTTCAAGATTTCAAAGTTTCCGGCTCTTTTCTCTTTTTAACCCACAAACAACAATCACATGCACTTGACAACAAGTCATTAATTCTGTTATATACACAGTTTTCACTGTTTGTCAATGCCACAAAAAGATTTTAGATAATACAAGATCAACTTTAATCTCTTTAAAATTATGCTATTATAGTATACTATGAATTTAAGGTCCAAAAAACTTTTAAGAACCCCTTGTCGTCCCAAAAACAATGATCACTTTGTTGTTAGTAAGTTGTTCATGCACTCTGTTTTCTCTGTTTCTTCCCACAACAAAAAGATCTTGTTGTTTTCTTGTGAACATACACACTTATTTTGCTTTGACATAATAGGTGAAGAAGACAAGAACGTGGAGATCAAACTCCGAACATTCAATTTATCAGAAGAAGAAAACGCGATATTTGTAGTGGTGAATGCTTGTTGTAGCAAAGACTATACAGACAACATCGTTGGAGTTTGTTTCGTGGGTCAAGATGTAACCCGACAAAAAGTCGTAATGGACAAATTCGTCCAAATTCAAGGCGATTATCGCGCCATTGTACATAGTCCAAATCCCTTAATCCCACCCATCTTTGCATCCGATGAAAACACATGTTGCTCAGAATGGAACACCGCTATGGAAAAACTCACAGGGTTGGGGAGAGATGATGTCATCGGGAAAATGTTAGTTGGGGAGATTTTTGGAAGTTGTTGTCGCCTAAAGGGTCCGGATTCTTTAACAAAATTCATGATCATTTTGCATAATGCAATTAGTGGACAAGATAGCGATAAGTATCCGTTTTCTTTCTTTGATCGACGTGGGAAATTTGTTCAAGCTTTGTTGTCCGCAAACAAAAGGGTAAATTTGTCCGGTGGTGATGCTACAGGGGCGTTTTGCTTCTTGCAAATCGCAAGCCCGGAGCTACAACAAGCTTTAAAGATACAAAGACAACAAGAGAACAAATGTTTTGCAAGAATGAAAGAATTGGCGTATATTTGTCACGAAATCAAAAGTCCGTTAAGTGGGATTCGCTTTGCTAATTTGCTTCTTGAAGCTACAGATTTGTCCGAAGATCAAAAGCAGTTGTTGGAAACGAGCGCAGCTTGTGAGAAACAAATGTTGAAGATTATAAAAGATGTTGATATGGAGAACATTCAAGAAGGGTGAGTTACATTACCATTATACTACTATGTTGTTACATTTGTAGAAACAAATAATATGAATATGAATATGAATATGAATATGATCTTGTGTTGGCAGACATTTGGAGGTTGAAAAGCGGGAGTTTGTGGTTGGGAGTGTGATCGATGCGGTGGTTAGCCAAGTGATGTTGATATTGAGGGATCGAGGGGTGCAATTGATTCGGGATATTCCGGAAGAAGTCAAAACGTTGACTGTTTGTGGTGATCAAACTAGGGTTCAACAAGTGTTGACTAATTTCTTGTTGAATATGGTTCAACATTCGCCTTCGCCAAATGGTTGGGTTGAAATTCAGGTTCGACCCAGTTTGAAGCAGGTTTTTGATGGAATCACCAATGCGCATATTGAGTTTAGGTATTTCATTTTATCTTTTGCTTTTTTTAAAAGTTCTTTTTAAAAAAAAAAAAAAAAAATTCTTGAAATTTTTGACAGGATGGTGTGCCCGGGAAACGGTCTTCCAGCTGAGCTGGTTCAAGACATGTTTCAGAGCAGTCAGTGGAGCACAGAGGAAGGTTTAGGATTAAGCATGTGTAGGAAGATCTTAAAGCTAATGAATGGAGAGGTTCAATATATAAGAGAGTCTGAAAGGTGTTATTTCCATATTATGATTGAACTCCCTCTTCCTCGTGGAACATGAAAATGGTGGACCCCGATAATAAAAAGGACATTTCACATATGTGGTGTTGTTTTAACTGTTTTATGACTTTAAGAGATTAACGGGTTATTTTTTAGTGTGAATTACTCCAAAGGAGTGGGATCGATGGTATTGTTAGAGAGTATATGTATTTGTGGTGTTATATACGAATGAGATTCTGGTCTGGTTAATATATTAATTTAAAAAAATGTATTTATTTGTATGTCCTATCAACCAAATATTTAAAAAAAGCTATTTGTCACTTTGAGTGACTCACATATCACATATTATAGCATGAGAAACCGGTGACTAGTCTATGTGGCATGCCATGTGTTCTGTCAAAATCACACTATGTCGACATGACATTAACGTAACATTCGTGTTGGCAATTTGTTTAATTTTTAATTTGGATTTTTTTTATTTGTTATCAAAAAGTGGATGCCCATAGCTGACAGGGTATCAACTATCAATCTTGTCTTTATTCCATCGAATTTTCTTAATTCCACGTTCAAGATTTGTTTTTTAACCTATTCGGTATTCTCACAAAGGTATATAGTTAACTTAAAAAACAAAATATCAGATCATCTACTTGTGGAAAATATGAATTTTGTATGGAAAAAAGGGTGGAAACCAACAAGAATGCACACGTGTGTTGTTTTAGGATTCCTTTCTCCTACGTTCAACCAAAATCTTCTTCTGCAAATCTTTAAGCTTATCTAGTATTTCTTGGAATGTTGGTCGGGATTGCGGTTCACTGAAAAATAAAAAGACGAAATTGCCCATCATTAGTAGAATAGAGGGTATTTTAGACATTTTAGTAATAGTCAACATTTTTCATGAGAAAGAGGCCAACCTGCACCAACAGCTTTGGATAAGTGAAGCCCACAGTGGATCCACGTCTTTTGGAATCTCTAGTCGTCGATTCATGAACCCTACTGCTCCAATAACCTATTAAGAAGTATCATAATTAAGTAAAATTTGCAGTTTGCATTTATCTTTATAATGATCACTGGATTTACATTTGTACAAGTATCATACACACAAAAGACGAAAACTATATAGAATTCGGGAGTAAAATTTAAACTTGATAAACTATTTATAATTACTTTTTCAAAAAACAATGCAAATTTAACCAATAAAAAAACTTTAAAAATTAAATATGGTGTCTAAATGGAAAATTGGGGTCTCTTTTTAGCCAACCACTTAAACAATTTACAAATTGGTTTTGCTTTTAGAAACCACGATGTTTGACATCCAGAGTCAAGCAAAGCTAGATATTTTGACTTTTGAGGTCAAACAAACAACTTTTAATCTTTAAACTTGATATAAAACTTATCTTTTTGTGAAGGCATAGAATTAGGGTAGGGTATAGAGTATTTTGACATAGTCTAAGGTTTAGTTTCATTTTTTCTTTACTTATTTACTATTTTTTTTTTTATTAGTTCTTTCTCTAGAGATGCACTTTATTTGGAGATTTATATAAGGCTATCGAGTTTTTGACTATAATAGGGTGAGTTAAAAAAATATTTATCATTTTAGTGTATTTTTAAAAATATTTCTTTTTGAAACCAGTACTCTTAGAAATATTTATCAGTATTTCTTTTCATTTTTCTTACTTTCAATTTTCTTTAATGTTTTTTTTTTAAATATTTTAAATATCTGATTTTCTCCATTTCTCTATTGTTTCACATTTTTACTGTTTATTTATTTCTTTCTTTAAATCAATATTTATTTCAGTATTTTAACCCTTTTTTACTGTTTTTTTTTAAATGACAGTTTTATTTATTATTATTATTATTATTATTATTATTATTATTATTATTATTATTATTATTATTATTATTATTAGTTACAAAAAGAAAAACTCAAATTAGACTCCACTCCCTCGCTCCATTATAAAATAGAATACACTAATATATTCTATTATCTTGTATTTTTTGTTTATTTATTGTTTTATTCCATTCATCCAAATAAACCATTAAAATTAATTTTTATTTGTTTTATATAATTCAGAGTTATGGATTCTTCTTTTGGATAAAACACTAAATTATGCAACTAGTTACTATATTTTATTTTACTAATTTTATAACAAATTATTTTTCTAATCGATTTCTACAATCATGTTGAATTTGCTACCATTTTTTTTTTACCATATTGATTGCATATTTGCAAATTAAAATATTATTATATATAGTTTCCTTACATGAAAAAAAATGATTAGGCCTCTCCTTTTCCTTCCATTTGAACCGGTATTCAATATTAAATGCCATATTTTTGTTGTTTAATGCAAACTACATAAAAATAAATCAATTATTTATTTGACTAATTGATGAGGGGATAGAGAAGGTTAGTTGATGAACTCACACCGATCATTCTTTTGTATCATTTCAAGTTAAATTGATGTTTTCTAAGAGAGCTTTTAGGGTATAGGGTTTAGGGAATAGAGGATGAGGGCTTGCTAAAATGATTCAACCTTTGATAATGTTTTCCTGTACAGTACAAAAACCCCTCTTCCCAAGCATAATTTTGTTACTGTTTAATAATTGAGCCGTCACAAAGACTTTGAGTTTTTATTTTTACAAGTATTCAATGCACATGAAATTGTGTAGAAGAAATTAATGGAGCAGATTTTTATTTTATTTTTTATTTTTTTCATTTATGTTGTTCCATGTTCCTTGTTTGCCCTAACTTCTTGGCTGCCTTTCCCTCTGCTGCTGTTACCGCCTTTCCTAGGGAATTTTCTGATCATTCCCCGATCATTCTCCGCACCTCGCTTTTATGCTTCGGCCCTCCGCCTTTTAGGTTCTTTAATTCATGGTGTTTTAGAGATGGTTTCGACAATGTTGTTATTCAGGCGTGGAATAGTTTCTCGGGTGAAGGCGTGCCTGATAGATACTTAGCTAACAAATTGAAATGGGTTAAAGAGGCCATTCGTGGTTGGAGGAGGGTGGAGTTCGAAAAAGAAAATAAGGTGTTACGTGAACTTAAATACAAGGTTAATGATCTTGAGCTTCAAGCGGAATCTAGATGCTTAAATGAATTTGAATTGAGGGAAAGAAGATCGTGCAAGCAGCGCATTTTGGAGTTGGAAAAGATGGCTAAGATTGATTTAATGCAGAAAACTAAGATAAAGTGGGTGCGAGAGGGAGACGAGAATACTTCCTTTTTTCACGCGTCTCTTAAAACCAAAAACAGGAGGAAAAACATTCATGGGCTAATGGTCAATGGAATTTGGATGACTGACATTGATTCTATTAAGCGAGAGACGATGGACTTCTTTAGTAATAAATTCAAAGAAACTTGTCGTGATCGCCCTGCACTAATCAACGGGAATTTCAAGATGCTTTATGAGGAAGATAGGTGTGCACTTGATGTGCCTATTGATCTCACGGAAGTCAAGGATGCTATTTGGAAATGTGGGAGCGAGAAGGCGCCCGGACCTGACGGATTCACGTTTAAATTTTTTAAACGGTTTTGGTCTCTCATGCAAGACGATATCATGCGCTTGGTGAAACATTTCGAGTCTTTCGGTTTCTTTTCTCGTGGTTGCAACTCCTCTTTCATTTCCCTCCTTCCTAAAGTGAAGGATCCTCTCTCCCTCGTTGATTTCCGCCTCATCAGCCTCATCGGCAGCTTATATAAAATTGTGGCTAAAATTCTCGCTTCCAGAATAAAAAAAAGTGATTGGTAAGGTGGTTGACGATGTTCAAACTGCTTTCATTGAGGGATGAAATATTTTAGATGGGCCGATGATCATAAACGAGATCTGTACATGGGCGAAAAAAGTCAAACACAAGACTTTTCTTCTTAAGGTGGACTTCGACAAGGCTTTTGATTCTATCAATTGGGGGTATTTGGAGTCCGTTATGGTGCAAATGGGGTTCGGATCGATATGGCTGAAGTGGGTCAAGGGATGTCTTTCCTCCGCAAGGGCTTCCGTTCTCCTTAACGAGTCTGCTACAAAGGAGTTTCCGTTATCCAAAGGCGTTAGGCAAGGTGATCCTCTATCGCCTTTCTTATTTATAATTGCAATGGAGGGTCTCAACGTGGCGGTGAAGTCGGCTTGCCAGAAATCGTTGTTTTGTGGCATTAAAATCCCCAAAGATGGTCCTTCTATTTCTCAATTATTTTATGCAGACGATGCGATTTTTGTGGGCGATTGGTCTAGTATGAATTTTTGCAATATTGCTAGAATCTTGAGATGTTTTCATGCAACTTTGGGGTTAAAGGTCAACTTTCATAAGTCCAAAGTTTATGGTATATGAGTTACGGATAGGGAAATTGTCTCTTGTGCTCGGATTTTAAGTTGTGATGCGGCTTCCTTCCCTTTCAATTTTTTGGGTGTCACAGTGGGAGTGAATATGAAATTAAAACGAAATTGGTATCCGGTTATTGATTGGGTGCAAAATCGGCTTAACTCATGGAAAGCTAAGATCCTTTCATTTGGCGGTCGGCTTTCTTTGGTTAAATCTGTTCTTGGTAGCCTTCCTTTATATTTTTTCTCTATTTTCAAAGCCACTATCTCTATTATTGAAAAGTTGGAAAAAATTAGGCGTCAATTTCTTTGGGGAGGCAGCGACAACAAACATAAGATTTGTTGGGTGTCTTGGAGTTGCGCTCTTGGACCAAAGGAAAAGGGTGGACTTGGTATTGGGTCTCTTCGATCCTTGAATCTATCGCTTCTTACCAAATGGCTTTGGAGATTCAAGAATCAACCGAATGCACTATGGAGACAGGTGGTCAGTGGTATTCATAACTTGAGCAGGAAACCGATTCATCACCTTGCTAAGAAGTCCCTCACTGGCATATGGTCTGAGATATCTCAGGTGGTGAACAACCTGGAGAGTGAAGGGATTAATTTTAATTCTGTTTTTGGAGTTAAGATTATGGTTGAATCTAATACGTTATTTTGGCTTGAAGATCGGGAGGGGGGGGGGGGGGGTGGCTCGTTTGACTCTCGATTTCCTAGCCTTTCGATCCTTGACAAGAAAAAGTCATGTTTCGTTTCGGAGCGTATTCTCCCAAATGAGTTCAAATGGGCCTGGAAGAGGAATCCTTCAAGTGATCAGGAACTGGCGGATATGAATTCCCTTAGCGGGCTTATATTTAATGTGGTCACTTCTCATGGTTTGGACCGGTGGATTTCTTTGCTTTCCTGAGATGGGGTGTTTCATGTGCGTGAGCTTCGATGTCTTATTGATTCCAAGATAACCTCGCCTATGGTGAATCCCACTATCTGGTTTCACATTCCCCCCTTAAAAGTCATTTGCTTCGTTTGGACGGCTTGCATTGATCGGATTCCGACGGTGATAGCGTTGTCTAAAAGAGGTGTTCGTGATGGGACTAATTCCTGTCATCTATGTCATCTATGTTCCTCAGGGGTTGATGACACTGATCATTTATTCATGCGTTGCTCTTTTGCCGGAGATATTTGGAAATGGTTGTGCCATTGGTGCGATATTCCCTTTCGATCGTTCAATAACGTCTCGTCATTAGTGGAGTTTGCGGCTAATTGGGGTCATTGCCCAAAGAAAAAGAGAATTTTTCTGGTGATTGTTTATGGATTCCTATGGTGTATTTGGAAAGCGAGGAACGAAAAGTTGTTTAGATCTACTTGTGCTAATGCTCCTAAGGTGGTGGATAATATTCTTGCTTTGGTGTTTGATTGGGTTAAACATAGAGGGAAGTTTAATAATTGTAATTGGTATGTTTGGGTTTGTAATCCTTTTGACATTTTGTAGCTGTTTTGTTTATGTTTTTGCCCTGCCTTTGCCTCGTTAGGTTGTGGCTTTAATAAAATTCTCCGCCAGTTCAAAAAAAAAAAAAGAGTTTGATCAATTATGAACTTTTGATTATTTTTGGTTTGCTAAAACTTGGAATACAACACATTTACATATCTTTTAGGTTTTTAGAATGTTCAATCTTGAAAGTCAAAGAAACAGTATTGAATTTAATACTTGAGAATAGCGTATATATACCTGCATTGGGTTAAGATCATCCCAAGGAATCTTCTCGGTGGTAATTTCCCACAATACAACACCATAGCTGTAGACATCAGACCTAAAGATTGACAACAAACAAACCAAATATTAGATTCCAAAATTCATGAAAAAGATATTTTCTTTTTCCTCGTACACAAACTTACTTTTCATCTGCTTGCTCGTTACGTAGAATTTCTGGAGCCATCCATTGAGGCTACAAAAAGGAACAAGAAATCAGTCAACACAATGAAGTCAAACCTAGCTATAGCCCTTTCATTTGACTCAAAGTTGAATCTTATTTCTTGTTTATTGTACCATTTGAGTCATTATAATAACTTTGCATTCTGTGGTTCCTATTTGTTGGGTGCGAGAAAAAGAAAAGAAAGATTTATTTTTGGAACAAAGGAGCATAAATTAAGAAATAGCATTGCAATACCGTTCCTTTCCCTGACTTTGTTTTGAGGTACGTGTGATGCTTGATACGAGAGAGACCAAAGTCACCAACCTATAATATCATATTAATTATTAGTATTAAAAAAACTTGGACAGAAGCCACATGAGTACGAAGGATAATCCAATCATATATACCTTCACAGTCCAATTCTTATCAACAAGAAGATTTGAAGACTTCAAATCACGGTGAATAATCGGTGGGTTACAATGATGAAGATAATTCATGCCTCGTGCCTTGAAAGAATCACTTATAAGAACACAACCAACTCAAAAGAAAAAAAAATCCGAATATAAAGGATAACTAATTAGCATGTTACTTACAATATCCATGGCCATATGGAGACGACGTTTCCAATCTAATCGGGTTGTGTTTCGCTGAAGTACCCGAAACAAACTTCCACTACATAGTGATATATATTATTAAATTGAGATTATTTATTATATGTTTGCAAACATTTTAACAAGAAAAGAAACATCACAATTTTTATTGGATTAAAGAACCAACCGAGGAAGGAACTCTGTGACAATGCATAGATGTGGAGTTGATGTCACAGCACCCATGAAGAGCAAAATATTTGGATGTCGAAGCTTTTTCATGAGAGATACCTTCAAAAAATATACAAAAACAGTTGGATGCAAAAAGAGAAGCATAAAAAAGGAGTTAATTATGTGTGATGAACTCAAAAAATTACCTCCTGTTTAAATGATACTATCAACTCCTCTGGGTATTCTTGATAGACAAATAACTTAATCGCAACATCCTACATGTATAAATGCACAGTTAATAATCCTTATTTGTCCCTTTTTTACAAATAAAAGTGTTTGCATAAATCTTTTAAGAAGCGGGGAAGACGGAAAACGTACTGATCCATACCACAGTGCACGATATACAGTCCCACACGAGCCTGCCAAAAAATATGATAAATAAGAAAAAGTTACATTCGTAATACGATAGTTTGTCAAATTGACTAAAATACCCTCGGGGTACCTTGTCCAATCTGTTCTTGAGTTATCAAATCCTCCCACGAGATTTCATAATCAAGGCTGTCGGTTTCTCTTTCCACTTTGATGATGGCATTGCTTTTGATGCTTGCACCGCTACTTGAGCTACTTGTGCTGCTACTAACATGTAATGAAGAAGACCATAACCCTGAAGCCACGATTTTATTATTGGTATTTTCCCATAGTTGAAAGTCAAGTTTTGAGGAAGAACATGAGCTCGTTTGTAGACTAGGCTTGTGTTCTTCAATGATATCTAACCTTTGCCAACCAAAACGACCAAATATAGGATCAAAAGACTCTACTCTTTCGTCTCCTTCCCAAGGCCACACACTTCTTTTTCTACCCATCCATGCATCTGCTTTTGTAGTCAAAATCTTGCAGATCCCGGGTTTGTTTTCACTCTCATGACCATAATATACTGTGAGTTTTTTGGTAAAGTGCTCCTCTGTGGCCATGGAAGAATAAGCTCCAAATGGAGACTGAATATGCCCCGTTCGGGTACTTGCTTCACTATGATCACCCACGACATCATTCCCACCTTCATGATCAGTGTAGTTGTCTCTCCTCTTCATCTTCAACTTCACCTTTGAAGCCTGTTATAATGTTTTCAACGTGACAAGAATTAATCAAATAAACCTAATCATGTTTGTTGGTCTTAGAATTCAATTGTACCTAAAGTGACAATTCTTGAGTTGGTTATCTTAGATTTCTATCATGCTCACTTAACAAAGGCAAAATTTGATATATGTGGTATAAGCGACTTAAAACCAATTCTAGGGACAATATATATGTAAATATAGGAGAATCTAATTAGTATAAATTTGATTTTAATCTCATTACATAGATGATTAGTCTAAAAAAACTCAATAATTATCTTCATCGTTTTCTTCGTCATCTATGTTTTCACAACAAGGCCTTCATGTATGGGTATTTCGCGACACCTGTAAGGATGATGTGGTGTAGGAGTCCACGCGTGAACACAACCCCTTCGGCTTGTGAATGTGGCGTTGCATAGCCACCGACGGATTTAGTATATATCCCGGGATGCCCCTTAAAAAAAATTTCAATAGTGTAACTTTTACCGTATTTTATTTTCTTATTGTGTATTATGTGATTGTTTTTTTCGGGCATACCCCTTTACTTTAATCTTGGATCCGCCATTGAGTGTAGCCACTGCTACAGAGCTTGACGGAGGAGAAAGAACAACTTAAACAGTTTTTTGATCGCTGAGAGATTAAAAAGAAAAAAGTTTAAATATATTTTTTTTTATTATCAACCAACCGCAACATAAACCTATAAATATTATACATTATTTATCTAACTTTCACACAACCATTTTACAATTCTAGACATCCTACACAAACGCAATTGAAAGATGGACAAATTTTCATCTTCATCTTCATCTTCACCTGATAATATTGGTGATATGTTTTTCTCACATATTCCTTGAATCAGAAATCACCATATTGGGTTCAAAAACTAAAAGTTCAAATTTCATCAAGAAGACTAAAACCTAATAAACAAGGATTTTAACGCTACACACAAATTCTTAGTACATGATTACTTTGTTGATAATTGCTTTTACGACCATACAACATTCAAACACCGTTTCCATTTTAGTAGAAATTCATTCCTATGTATAGCTAAAGATTTGGAAGTCAATTAAAAATATTTTAATTGAGAAGGAATGCTAGAAGTGGACAGAGAAAGTTACACACATACACACACAATCTCTATCAAAGGCAATAAAATCATGACGATGAGGATGATACGATGAGATTGACAATAATGAGTAGTAGCTTTTATTCTGTAATGTTAAACTTTTAATTTTTATCGTCTTTTTTAAATTTTAGTTATTTAATTTAAAATTTTAACAATAGAATGTTGTATTTGTTTTAAATAATTTTAATTTAGTTTTAATTATGTAAGTATTTTATTTTTAATTTATATAATTTTAATTATGTAAATGTTTTATTTAAATGATAAAATGATGGAGATGATGTGAGTAGTGAGTATTTTCTAAGGTTTGTGGTGTGGTAGTGGAACTGAGGTGACAACACTTTTAGAGTAGGGATATAGTACCCGTTCCTCATACCCTTTTGGTGCATGTGAGCTCATTTAGTGTCTTTAGTGTTTTCTTGAAGAAGATGCTGGTCTTTGGTGCAAGAAGAGGAATTTTCCCATCCTAGTTTCTCCGCCCGTTTCATCTTTTGGAGCCTAAAGAGGTAAAAAGTCTCCACCTCTATGCTTATGCCTTGAGTCCATGAACTAGAATTGGCCTTTTGATTGGATTTTAGGCTTAGGGTTATAAATCTTGGCTTATTGAGTTGTCTAAATGGATAAAGTTGGAAACTTGATACATTAAGACCCCCGAGAGATTCAGATCTTTCATATCTGAGATTTGGGACTTTCATCGTAAAGGATTAAGGATTGAATGAGTGAGGCTATTAAGCTGAGTTTTACGGCACGATAACTAGGGTTTTACAGCGTGATTTTAGATCTGTCCAGACTATTTTGTCACCTAATGAATCACGACGTGACCATTATCTAGTCAAGGTGTAATTTCTATTGAATGTCGAGTTTCGTTGACCGTTGACTTTTGACGGTCAAACTGAGGGTTTTAAGTAATAGATTAACGTCTGACTCCTATCAGGTTAGGAGGTTCGTATAGATATTCTAGCAGGTCGTTGAGTGTTGATCTTTCAGCTTGTTGATTCAGGGGATTTTCTCATTATACTACGTGTGACAGTATATGTCCTTGTATGCTAAGATATATGTATTGTCAGGTTATGCTTGTAGATGTAGATTGGTTAGTCTCTTGTGGGATATATGTTTGTTATATGACGCTTTCATGTGGTTATTTGGGAGTTGATGAAAAGATCAACTAAGTGTTGTGAGTCTAGATACTTATGTATGGGAGTTAACGACAAGACCAACTTAAGTGTTGTGAGACTAGATACTCGTATCTAGGAGTTGATGACAAGATCAACTTAAATGTTGTGAGACTAGATACTCAACTTGGTTGTATGATTGTATGTATATTGTTGTATATGAAATTTTTGGGGAACTCACTAAACTTTGATTTACAGTTATAGATTAAATGTTTCAGGTACTTCAGTTGATCGTGGGAAGGCAAAGGCATGATTGTACAAACTCATCAACAACTTTCATGTTTGAGATTCCACATTGTTTTATGCTACTCTAATTTTTGGGATTATGACTTATTGAACAAATGGTTTTATGAAAATGGTTTTTTATCTTACTTAAAAATTGAAAATTCTGTTGTGAAAATTGGTATGTTACATGAACTCGGGTAGTTGTCTTCCCTTTCTAGTCCTAGATCCGAGTTACTAGCTTTAGAGGGGTACCATAATTCTTCTGAAGAATCCATTAATGAAGAGTCTCCATACACAATCTATTTCTTGCTTGCGTTTTACATTCATTCGAAGCAAGCTGGGTGTTCGATCTTTATTTCAATTTCAGATTGATCCATTTAGACATAAATTTTCACTTGGAACAACTGTACGGAGGGACATGACCACTTTGGAAGAGGTTCGATCAAGCTTGCACCCTAAAAAACTACAACACAAAGCACCAAACAACCTTATGGAATGTATTTGTAAAGCAGTATCAGTTTGATCTCCTGGACTCGAGGAAAAAGGTAAAGGAAAATATAGAAGAGGAACATCAAGGTCACAAGGTAGAAAATCGAATAAGCAATATGTGTGTCATAGATGTGGAAAAATTAGGCTATGGAAGAATGTGTGCGCAAAGAACAAGGGAAAAATGTCGAATGCAAACGTTGTGAAAGAATTTTCGAACGTAGAAAAAGATTTGGTTCTTGTTGCTTCCGATTGTACCTTTGGGAGATCTGTTTCATGTCTCTTAGAGGTTTTTCTTGCAGTGTCCATTTGTACATTTTCAAGTTTATATGTTGTCATGAACAAATGAGAATTAATCATACACACAAAGACATTATTTAATGCGGCTCGGTCAATATAACATATGTCAACATGCAGGAAAGAGTATTATTCTCATGATCTTGAAAATGATAATACAATGAAACCCTAGTTACCAACATAATATATATACAAAGTACAAAATGTAACCCTAAATAGAACAAGGCCAGGCCCAACTACATATATCTACAAGTCCTTATTCGAGTGTAGTGGGGAAGTCTTACGTGCGTTATAGTTTGTACAAGGTTGAATACTGCACACTCAGTAATTGTAGTATCATAGTATATGGCGCATGTAGGCAAGGAACATTGGCTAGCGGTCAGAAAAACATTTCGGTACTTGAAAGTCACATCTAATGTGGGTCCTATCTATGGAGGAGTTTGGGGTTGTGTGATCTATACCGAATAAAGTCATTAACCAATTATTTGTTTACAATAGGTAGCGATATCATGAGTTGCAAGGGAACGCTTCAACCTTATGTTACTCTATTGACTATCAACTACTCCGAGGAAATGGACTTAACAGAGGCAACAAAGGAGACAAATGGTTGAAGGGGTTGGTAAGTGTTCGTGGGGTTCGGAATTATCAAGCCTTGGCTTATTGCAATAGCATGACTGCTATTTGTTTGGATAACACCCACGTTTTCAACGAACAAACCATTATCTTTTAATTTCGTTTAAGACGCGAGTGACACATGATAACCGGACACACTTGTTAAATAAGTCGATCATAAAATGAAAATATTGACATTGCTTATTCCTAAACATCGATAATTGGAATTACAAGAAGGCTTACTTTGAAGTCAAGATGGAGAATTGTGGAACAAGCCACTTCAAACAAAGCCTAGGGGACCATATATGATAACTAAGGGAGAATCTAATTGCTACAAATTAGTCATAAAAAGTTGGTACTCATCTTCTTCCATTACCTTGTCATCTAGGTTTCACATCAATAAATAACCGAATCACAATCAATGAACATGTGTTTCAATCATTTGTGTGTGTTAATGTTTCCTATTAATCAATTAGCAATTTTCGTTTCTACATAACATGATAACTTCAAGGCAATGTTTAGTGAATCTACCCATAACTATTTGTTGGTTCTTGAATCTATTTGGACATAAAGTAATCTAATACCCTTACATGCATGGTCTTAAATCTCTATTTAGAAAAATTAATTGTAGGAAATGCTAACCAAATTCGATATCTTTGAGGCAATTGAAATCTGTAGAGGTTGTGGAGAATCAAAGCCAGGTTTGGCAGGCTTTCTTGCATGATACGGACGTGAATCACTCGATATACATAACCCCCCAATTATTCCTCTAATTTCATCACGGAATGGCGTATTAGTAGCAATAACCACAAATCGTTCCCCTTTCTTATTCTTTATAGGAAACTCCCCGGTCCAAGTCTCTCCCTTTAGTGATCGTTCTAGAAGATCATCACATAACGAAGCGTCCTTAGGTTCCACTAGAAGCTCGGTTGGTGTCTTCCCATAGACTTCATCAGGTGTAAAACCATAAAGATTTTCTGCACCCCGGCTCCTGCAAGAATCCCGTTCACCAAATATGTTAAAATTTATTAAACGCCTTTGATCTTCTTCATGTTTCACTTGAAATTCAAAACATTAAGAATTTAGTAGTAGCATATTTATTACCAGAAGATTATCCGAAAGTCAATATCATATATATGTAGAGCCTGACCCAGTGACTGCATTATATTAAAATATTGAGCTTCTGTTAGCTTCATAGCTAAAGGCTCAGGTTCTTTTAGGTTACCAGAAAGCATGAGTTTTGAGATTTTTTGTTTGAGTTGAGATTGACGTTTTTCCAGCTCCTGGATCTTTCTTAAAAGCTCCTCAGCTGATGGTGTTTTTGTGCTTTGCTCCATTTTCACACACCTCTACACAAAAAGACACACTGTGATTTGAGGATCAAGAAATTGGTTCTTTAAACCTCACGTTATAATTTTGGAGGCAGCCCAAATCAATAACTAACAAAAACCCAAGATTGATCACCGTGAGATATAAATCACCATCTTAAACCTATACATGTAGAAAAGTGTTCATTTTTATAAAATAGAAACACAACACCATAAAACACACATTACTGAACTAACTTCACACACAATAACACATCCTTTGATTAGTAAACATATCAATTGCTAGTTTCTTCAACGTTTACCCATCTTCTGGAGAAATCTTAAATCAAGAAATTACAGAAAAGTGAAGTTTAAACTTACAGACACACACATGTTCATAAGCGGAAATGGATATTTTGTTGATGCAGATGATTTTTATAAGATGCACTCTCTGATATGAACAACCAATTAACTAGGTTTTTTGTCCTTCTACCCTCTATCAGACGCAAAAAGAAGCCGAAATCCGTTTATATGTACCTTCATTAAGAGAATAATAAAAAAAAATTGTGTGTTTGTGACGCTTTGAGAGGTCTACAGACAAACCACCCCAAGCTCCTTCTCATTGTCTCCCAAAAATGTTTTATACTTGAACTTCTATATACGTGTCGGTTTCTCTCTTTTTCGGAGTATTATATAATTGTTCATCCAAAACTACAACCGCCTAGACGTCTACATTTATACATTTATATTATATATAAGGTAATATTATATAGCAAAGTAATTATAATATTAATAGTTATTAAAATCAGTTGGTTTCTTAAACAAAACTAATATAGAATGGTATTTCATATCAAAAGGGTTTTTATATCATAGACAAACAATCCGTTATTTTTTTGAATGATAATTTTTGTTTTAAATTATATCCATAGAGTTAGAGGTAATAACATATTAAGAAATTAGTTTATAACCCGTGAAAATCACGTTTATAAAATTAGTTAAACTTTTATAGTAAAAATTCAAAGTTATTAATTAATTATTTTAAAAAATTATTAATTAAGATATTATTTTAATTATATAAAATTATAATCAATGATTTAAATAAATATGTGAAATTATATCACTTTGTAATTTGTATTAGTTTTATTTTAATGTTATTAATTTAATGTAGATAGAGTGGAAAATTTTGAATCTATGAAGAATCAATAGGTTGACAAATGAAAAATATTAATTAGGAGACATAATAGGGTGATATATGATAAAAGAAGAATAATATATGCATTAATTAGGAGACCTAATAAAGTGATATATATCAAAAGAAGAATAAAACTATTCTTTTATTAAAATAAAGAGATACTCTACAACCGACAAAAAAAAAACCCTAAAGTTTCAAAAACCAATGGTGTATATACACACACACACACGGGGTGTGGCCACGCAATGCGGCGACGCCAAAAAGTTCGTTAGGACGAATAATTTCTAAGCAGCAGACATTGAATACAAGGAGTTTTTGGTTATTTATGTGGATGTTTCGTTAGTATTTTTTTGTGCGTTCTATTTCGAAGATAGTTTCTTTTGGACGTTTCGTTTTAACTATTAGTTTTATTTACATGTTTCGTGTTGACAATAGTTTTTCATTTTTTTAATTCAGGCAAAATTTTCAAAGTTTGCTTTATTTACTTTTTTTTTAATTCTTTTATATGCTAGCTAATTTGTCAATATTAACAGTTAACACATTTTATTGTTAAAGATGATACAAATAAATTCAAACATATATAAATTATGTTGTTTTGTACTCTTGTCATTTAAGTTGGTAACGTTGGTATAGTTATTTCTATTTGGAAACTTAAATGCAAATTAAATTTCACATGAATATTATTATTTCATGATATTCTTTAAAAATTAAATATATCATTAAGTTATATTCTGTTTAAATGATATTTTATTACATTAAAAACAACTAAGTATATACTTGACGTTCTAATATAATTGGTGGTTTGTTTTACAAAAAAAAAAAAAAAAAAACTAGTAATATAGACATTTTACTAAAAAAACTAATAATATAGACATCCTAAAGAATTGGAGATAAAAATTCCTTTAAATGAAAAAAAATAGAAAATAAAATTTTTAATAAAGTGTTTTATTGTGAAAGTCAAATAAACCTCAAAACTATTACCTAAAAATAGCTTACTTCACATAAAATAAATTCAACCAACTATTTCTAGTTCCCATAAAATTATTTATTTAGTTGTCATTATCTAGGAAATCGGATTAAACAAAAATGGGTCCTATCATAAACACACCAACCTACCATTCTCATACATTCTATTTTTTAAGATAACCATGCACACTTTAATTTAATAGCATATGAGCTTAATCATATTTACTAACTTTTATAATTGTTTTAAGAATTTCATTAACTTTATCATTTAATTATTATATTATTCATATCTACTAATTTTATTATTATTTTGAATTTTCTTTTTAAACTTATTTTTTACAAGATTAATAGAACAAAAACAATATAATATTTTTTTTGATAAAATAATAATAATAATAATAATAATAATAATAATAATAATAATAATAATAATAATAATAATAATAATAAAAGATATATTTAAAAAAATCCAACGACCGAAGGACAAAATATGTTTATTATTGTTATTATTACTATTATCATTTTTGAACTTTAAGATTAAGTTTAGAATAAAAAAAAAAGCTTATAAATACCATAGATTTATTTTCTTCTTAAAAAAAATATTTTCTTTGCTTTATATTTTTTGATTTGATATTTTTAGTCATATTTTTTTTTTCCAAAACAATTTATCAAATATGAAAGTTTTATCAATTTTTCTTTTTAAGATTGTTCTAAAAATAAAAAAAAAACTAAAGGATTTTCAGAGAAAATAAAAAATACTATGTGGGAAAAAAAAAATACAATATAAGATTGTTAATAATAATAACAATATACATGTTAATTTTTTATATCATAAAAAGGTGTCTGATTTTATTTTTTAGATACAATAAAATCTAAAAGTGTAGCAAATAAATTATATTAAATATAGTTTATAAAAATTATAATAATGCATTTGTTTATTTTTAAAAAGCTAGAAAAAGATCGTGTGTGTGTGTGTATATATATATATATATATATATATATATATATATATATATATATATATATATATATATATATATATATATATATATATATATATATATATATATAGGGTTAGGTTCATGTGAGACGACCTAATTTTGTGAAACCGTGAGACGCATTTTTTTATTTTTTTTAGTTAATTCAAGTTCCGAAAATAATATTTAAAAAAAGAGTTTTTTGAATTTTCCATTTATTTTGCATTTTAAAATTATTTTTAGAATATGTACAGTGTAATATTCTATTTAGAATATTTCACGTATTTTTAAAAAAAATAGAATTCTTTTTTTATTTTTTTAGTTAGTTCAAGTTCCGAAAATAATATTTAAAAAAGAATTTTTAGATTTTTCCATTTATTTTGCATTTTAAAATTATTTTTTTGGATATGTCAGTGTAATATTCTATTTAGAATATTTCACGTATTTAAAAAAAAAAATAGGATTTTTTTTAATTTATTTTAGTTAATTCAAGTTCCGAAAATAATATTTAAAAAAAGAATTTTTGGATTTTTCAATTTATTTTGCATTTTAAAATTATTTTTAGATTTTGGTCTCACGATCTCACAAAATTAAAATGGTCTCAAATGAACCTGAACACACACACACACACACACACATATATATATATATATATATATATATATATATATATATATATATATATATATATATATATATATATATATAGTAATGGTTTCACAATAAACAAAAGAAGACAGGTAAGTTTAAAAACATTATGTGTAATGATTGTAGATAAAGAAAAAGTACTTCCCTAAACATACAGTTCAATAAATATTAATATTTTGATTGTTTGCAATATACAATATTCAATGTATTAAAAAAATACATTATATATATACTGGTTAGAATTTTGGAAAAACTTTTAGGCTTTTTATAACTACACTACAGTCTAATACACTCCATTCTAATGTTGACCTAATGATACAATTTAACTTAATTTTATTGGTCACTTTTTGGATTTTATAGCTATTTCCGGTCAGGCTTTAAGTTTTGTTCTATTTCCAAAGTGATAATGAAAAATAAATTTATTATTTTTCCAACATAATTTTGAAAAATGTGCTTGCAAAAAAGATGCTGTAACCATTGAATAAAATCAGAATGTGGCTTCTAACCACCACCAGCACCACAATCGGAGCATCATTACTACCATCAATGTCTATTCCGTCGGCGACTTATGTTGGCCGCCATCTTGAAAAAAATGAGATCAAGAGATAGAGAGATAGACAGAGAGAGTCGCTTGGTCTGGTAGCAACAAGATCGAGACGGAGAAAGAAAGAAAGATCGAGACCAAACGATGGCGACTTACCTCCGACGGCTTGCCTGAAAAAAATCAAATCGAAAAAGAAACAGACATAGATAGTCGCTTGGTGAGGAGTGGTCCGGTGAAGCGGTAGCTACAGTGGTATGGCGGCGACGGTCGTCCGATTCTGACTACTGATACAAATAAAAACTGAAAATTTTATGAAATTAAACTAGGGTTTTGAGTCAAATTGAGTAATCAATTAGGTTTTGGCTCATGGGCTCCATGGCACGGTACAACTTTTTAAGTTTTTCTTATAAATTTTAAGTTTTAATCATTTTATTTAAATAATTTGTTTTGCCTAACTTTAGTTTTTAATTAAAACAAACTAATCTAAAAGAAATATTTTTTTTGAGTCTTTCTAATAATTAATATTTTGTTAATAATAAAGTTAGTAATAATAATACACTAATTAAATAATAAACTTAATGTAATAATTAGATTAAATTATTGACAAACACAAATCAAATGATTAGCATAATAAATAATAGACTATTAGGGTAGAGTGTTTATAACATCACCCAAACTTTTATAAAAATAAGTGTTATAAAATCGGATACCAAACAAGTCATAATTAAAGGGGTAGTGTTAGAAAAAATAGGATATTAATAGGAGTACTTTAAATGTTCTTTAAATGAAAAAAAATAGAACACGAAATTATTAATAAAGGAATTGAAGAGTTGGAAGTTTTTTATTATGAAAGTCAAATAAACCTCAGAACTATGACCTAAATAATAATTTATGTAATTAAATGTTGATAAAATAAATTAAACCAATTATTTCTAGTTTCCATAAAATTATTTGTTGAGTTGTCATTGTCTAGGAAATCGGATTACACAATTGATTATGGAAAAGAAAAAAAAGGCAATGTTAGGTATTAAAAAAACAATGTTAGGTATTCAAACAAAGATACAATCGTGTTTGACACCAAGCTTTTGGAAGCGTTTGAGAGCTTGTAGCTTTTAACTTTTGACAAAACGCTCTAGTTTAAATAAAAAAAACTTCGTTTGACAGTACGAGCGTTTAACTTTTAGTTTAAACAAAACGCTCGAAATCTAAAAGCTACTTCATGTAGCGTTTAACAAAACACTACTAATCTTTTGAAATCAATTTCCATAATTACCCTTAAAAATATATTTATATATTTGTTTATTTTTAATCAATTGTCCTTTTATGTAATTTTATATATTTAGCTACTTTTACCAAATACTCATATAACAAATAAAAGAACAGCTTCATGCTTCCTGCTACCAGCTATTCGCTACATGCTACTCGTTACCCGCTATCAGCTACCTGCTAACCGCGAACCGCGAACCGCTTTCAGCTAATAGCTACTTTTGTCAAACACACACAATATGTCAGGGATTCAAACAAAAATATAGTAATACTTTCTTGTTTGAATTTTTAGAAACCAATAGATAATCAAACGACACAAGAGACGTAAGAGAAAGAGACATTTTATCTTTTTAAGAGATAAATGTTTTTGGAAAGACTTTATAGTAAAAAAAAATTGTAATTTTGTGTGACAGAGTAAACATATGCATGATGATCTTAATCTCTTTCTTACTATTGTTTGTCAGTATATCATTATATACTTATAAAGCTAGCATTTTTTCTTTCACCACATTCATTTAAAACTCCCATGACTATTCAATTTCTTTTTAATAATAATTATAATTTGGTTAATTATGTTAAATAAATATCAAATCTAAAGTATAATCATACATAAAATAAATTTCAATATTAAAATAATATATTTACTTCTACTTATAAAGTTATGTTTTTTAACTTTTAACATATAATATTTAATTTATTAGTTTCAATTTATTGTTGGATGTAAACTGTTATCATTTTAAAGATACAATTTTGAAAATTTTGTATAAAATACTTAAACTATTAATTTAAATATATAACATTACAATGTAAACTTAAATACAAATTTTAGTTTAACTTAAACAACCAAAGAACATTTTGTAAATAGTTAAAAGTGATAAATTGTAGTGTCTTTCTAATAATGATTATAAGTTGGTTAATAATGTTAAAAAATATCGAACCTAAAGTGTCATTATTAATAAACTAAATTTCAAGTTTAAAATAATATATTTACTTCTACTTATAAAGTTATGTCTTTAAAGTTTAACATATTATAATTAATTTATTAGATTTAATATATTGTTATATGTAAACCATTATCGGTTTAAAGCTACAACTTTTGAACAGTTTAGACAAAATATTTAAATTTTTAACTGTCGACTTAAATATAAATTTCATTTCCACTTAAAAAACCAAAGATGTTACCTTTAAAATCAAAAAATAATATTTGATTTTTCTAAATAATTATAATGATAGAATTTCAAACATTAAGCAAATAAATTTTTAAAAATTAATTAACAATAACAACTATAAATAACATTAAACCATATATTACATTTAATTTTATTCATGTATAACTCGCGGGTAGAAATTATTCAAACGATTGAGATTATGAAGTTATAATAAATGTATATATTATCATATAATTCAAAATAATAAATATATTATATAAATTTAGTATACGAATTATTATATTAAATTTAACAACAATGTTATTGTTATATTTAAAAAAACATATATTTATAAAGACTTCAACTATATTGGTGTCTCTACGCAAATGTGCCGACATTCGCCTAGTTATCATATAATATACTTTATATTCAGTTATATATGATTAAAATTTTCATTGCTTTTCAATGAAACGTTACACAATTTGTTTCAATATATATATTTCACTGTTTTTTATTGTATTATTTTAGAATTCAATATATGCTTATATAAGCGCTAAATATAACAATTATATACATTTATCTTGTTTTTCATCAAGGGATATTACTATTTATATTTATAAATATAAATTTATTCACAGTAAAAAAATCACTTTTAATAATAATCAAAGAATATTACTTTTTAATGTAAATATATAATTTTTCGTTATAAGCATATCAAACTAAGAATTTGAACCAACATAACTAATTTAAAAAACTTATACCCGTTCAAAAGGTTAAATAATAATACTTGAGATTTTCTAATATGTGTCCTAAGAACACATATAAAAAATATTAATTAATAACAAATATTAGTATAATTAAATATAAAATGCATTAATTATAAGGAATATTACCTTAATTAAATATGACACGCATTAATAATCTCCATAATAAATGTATTTTGAATTTAATTATGATAATATTTTTCATAATTAATACTTTTTATATATGCTCTTAGGGCACATATTAGAAAATCCCATAATACTTAAGTATAAATAGTGGTTATTTATTTCGTTTATTTATATCCCAAATAAAATTTATCTTCAGCAGAAAAAAAATCAAGATTTTACATTTCTATTATGGAATGGTATTATTATTAAGTACAGAAAAATAAATTTTCAAAATTTTCTATTATGGAATCGTGTTAATATTAACTATACCATCTTAACAATATCCACAACTGATCGGAACATACGATTCTTTATATATATATATATATATATATATATATATATATATATATATATATATATATATATATATATATATATATATATACTATCTTATAAAAGAAATCTAATTATTTCTAAAAATAGATTGATTATAATAATAATATTTTTTTAAGACGTTCAAATGATGAAGCTGATAGTACAAGTAACTATTAATAAAATAATATTAAATTTTAAACAAATTTTGAATTCAAATATTCATCATCAAATCTCCTTATATTTCTCAGCAATTTGATATTGTTCCCTAAAATCACGGAATTAATTCAAATTTTGAACCCTTTTAGATATCCTTAAATTTAGCATGTTGATTCAGATATCCCTCCAATCGTATATATAAAGCCCATCATTCAGGAACAAAAAATGACTTCATCTCCCAAATAACACCATAGTTTGATTAGTTTGTCTTCGACATGTACTTTTTTTGTAACATAACATTTTTATAGAGGAAACATATCACCGAAAAAATTTACACGCCCCGCCGCTTTGCGCGGGTACACTGCTAGTATATATATATATATATATATATATATATATATATATATATATATATATATATATATATATATATAGGGTTAGATTCATGTGAGACGGCCTAATTTTGTGAGACTGTGAGACGCATTTTATTTTTTATTTTTTTAGTTAATTCAAGTTCCGAAAATAATATTTAAAAAAAGAATTTTTCGATATTTCCATTTATTTTGCATTTTAAAATTATTTTTAGAATATGTACAGTGTAATATTCTATTTAGAATATTTCACGTATTTTAAAAAAAAAGGATTTTTTTTTTATTTTTTTTAGTTAATTCAAGTTCCGAAAATAATATTTAATTTTTTTTTTTTAGATTTTTCCATTTATTTTGCATTTTAAAATTATTTTTTAGAATATATCAGTGTAATATTCTATTTAGAATATTTCATGTATTTTAAAAAAAAAAGGATTTATTTATTTATTTTTGTTAATTCAAATTCCGAAAATAATATTTAAAAAAAGAATTTTTGGATTTTTCCATTTTTTTGCATTTTAAAATTATTTTTAGATTTGGTCTCACGGTTTCACAATATTAGAATGGTCTCACATGAACCTGAACCTATATATATATATATATATATATATATATATATATATATATATATATATATATATATATATATATATATATATATATATATTCTTTATTCCCTTATCAACAGTTGTGTATTTTTATTGGTCCAAATTTCTTTTATTAATTTAATCTCTCCATTTTTGTGCCTGAGTTTTTAAACATTTTCGTTTTCCCTTTTGGTTTATGAAACTTTATGAAGCTCTACCCCTGGCCTTCGTTTGAGAGCTGTACATGTGGGGATGTCGGGACATCCACAGTATGCGTGTTTCGACTTCAATACTCCATTGTTTATAACTTTGTATTATCCCACCGCTATTCCCTCATTCTTCCTATTCAGATGAACCGACAAAACCTGAAAACCCTCACCCCATTTACTGTCGGCGTCACCATCTTCTCTAACATGTACCATCTTCACCTTTCGCAATCACATGTCACGCATTCATCAGCTTCTCGATTTTCTCATCGACGTTGAAAACACTCAAATTGATTAGGGATTTCGGCTTGAAATCCTATCGCAATCACATGTCACGCATTCATCAGCTTCTCTAACATGATCTTCACTTTTTTGATTAGGGATTTCGGCTTGAAATTTATGTCGTGTGGTCTCCACCTTCTCCACCATCATATATGCAACCAGAAAGAGAAGCAGTATCTTCATGCGCACATCAGACCCGATGAGCCTCTTCCACCTACGTCGTCGCCCCATGTTCTACGTTCCAGTCGGCCCAGGTAATCGTTTGTCTTTCTCCCATAAGTTGCAAGTCTATTGAAAACAGATGGAATACGTTTCATGGCTTCGATTTTTATTTGGGAAGTTGATTAAATTGATCAGCCACATCATTGTGATAGCATAACATGATGAAACAAAAAAATTCGCTCAAATTTGAAGATACTTGCTAAAATTACGATCGAATAACTTATGATATGTGGAAACAATTATTCAAATTACGTACCGAAAGTTGTAAAGTGTTTGTGGTATGAATTTTGGTTAGTTATTGCTCAGGTGAGTTGTGTTATGTTTCTGTTTAACAACATATTTTAATTAGTTATTGCTCGGTAATTTTTGCAATTTCACTTCTGCATAGTTGAATTTTACTTAATTAGTTTTCTCTTAGATCATTTTACTGTAGAAATATTGAAGTCGTTATGTTTTTTATTTGGTTCAACTTTTTAAATTGATTTCTACATCATTTTACTCTCGAAAAATAAAGAAATTGACGTTCATTAATTATCTATTCGTTATTTTTGCAAGTTGAATTTTGTATGTTCAAGTTTAACTTTAGTTTGTTTCGTACACCAATTAACTCTTAAAATCCATGTGTTTTTATTAGCTATTCATGATTTGTGCAGGTTAGAATTTTAAAATATTTATCATATTTTTCCCTTCTCTTCCATAAATAGGTATCTACTTGCATATGTTTTTGTTACTTTTGAATTCTGATTGATTCCGTCCGCTTCCAACTGATTTATATTTTATACAAATAAATAAAAAAGTTTCATTATATGAATTTTGTTCTGTTTTATTTTATAGTTTCTCCAAACCAAAAAAATACTCTAAGAAGAACCTTTTGAAGGTATATAGACGTTTATACTTTTCTCATTTTGCAAATATATATATATATATATATATATATATATATATATATATATATATATATATATATATATATATATATATATATATATATATATACACATAAAAGTTTAGCATTTTTAGACGGGTAAGGTGCTCCTCAATTTACAAAAAGGCATCGGCGACCACTGATCTGCTGTACCAGAACATGGCCCTGAAGCTTTTGCAAAAGTGGTAAGAATTCATACACTTAAAATTTAGAAAGTTGATGAGAAACAAACATACATGATGGTTTATAAACTTGTACATGAGGAAAGTACTGGATTTTTTTTTTTTAAATGTTTATGATTTTATTTTATATCTAATATATTTTTGTATTGTACAAACTGATAGTTAAGACCTGTTGAGTTTATCTTCTTTCGACTACATTTGAACTTAAGGAGATTCAGTCACCTCTACTAGATCATCATTTTTTGGGGATTCAATCAAGTTACAAAATACACTGAATAAAGAATCATGAATTTGAATTTTGCATACTGTTTAAATATCACATGTTTATTTTTTTAGGCCATTGATGTTTTTTTTTTTGGGCATAAGCAAGATTAAGAGCGACACCAAAAACCCCGAATACCCAATTGGGTGGAAACTCATATTCAAGGGCCTAACTGAATTAATAGTCTTGTGACACAGTTACCAGTTTTTAGTTCTAGGACCGAAAACATTGGAATTTATTGTTTATTAATTTATATCATATTATCATAGTGTGTTCTAGCTATATGTTTATTCAAATGTTAACAGACCTTTTGGTTAATAGTCTATTTGTTAAAGTTCATTTTCTATAATATATTATCAGAGGTAGTCAGGTACTAATTAAATTCTTTCGCTAGCTTATTTTATTAATATTGGAATGCATCAAACTGCTCTGGTTTATATTTATGCATCTATATCTTTTCTTCAAATACACATTATGTTCTCAGTTGTTGTTAAAAAATCACTGTCTTGATTTCATTGTTTCAGGAAATAGAGTTATCAAAGGATATAAATAAGTCTTTCAAGAAATCATCTCAAGATAGGATAAAACTACATTCCAGAATCTAGATAAGTGTTCATGTCCTAGAAACTATCTATGTTTTATAATTTTTGCAATTTTCATCCAACTTAGAAGCCTGCTTTCTAATTGCTAAATAATGTAAAATTGTTAATTGAGTGTAGGTACTAGCCAACAAATCCACCAACAAAGGCCCGCCTTTCACATGAATTATTGGTGAGGTCCTAATATCATTCAATTTGTGTAGATTTTGGATCAAATGATCAATTGAGGGGCTACTCTTGGCCTGTATTGCTAATGTTTGTCTATTAAAAAAAACCAATCCAAGAACTATACACATTTGCAACTTACCTCTGCAGCCACACGTCATGAAGGTTAGCTCCATTTCGGAGATCCAATCCATAACCCCAATCGGATCCTCCTTTCCATTGAAGGTCGATGGTTTGCAAGTCAAAAAGTCCTTGTACTTGCATCCCATTCCATCATTCCTCCCATCACGATTATCTTGCCTAACTATCGGTGGGTTGGCTTGACCAACTGATCCACTGAAGTTTCCACCTTCCGAGTGCCCTTCATTTAATTCAGGCTCTTCCACACGAATCGACAATTCTTCACGATTTTGTTGAAGCAACCGTCTAGTTTCCTCCATCTGACGATCCAACATCGTCTGAATCATCAATTGCACACCAGCCATGGTTATTGGCTTAGGTACTGCTGCTACAACAGGTCTTTGTTCAATCACTGGTGGTTGATTCCTGTTTTTTCATCAGCATTTCCAACTCCACTTCTTGTTCTCACCATTTTTGATCTACACACCGAATAAGGTGAAATTAGATCCTTATTCACGATAGATATTCAAATCATCCTTATCACTCCGAAACGTTTACATGCTAATTCTAATATCGTAGACGTACGCTTAGAATCCAACACACATAAAGTTTCTAGATCCGGTCGACAACAGACCATAGATCCGAACAAATAATATCATATATGGCAACATATAACATTTAGCACATAAATCATTTTAGGCAACTTTCCTAAAATAAACTAGTGCTTGTGTCTAAAACATAACAGACACACATCTCAAAATTCCACTTAGCATTCTAAGTTTAAGTCTAGAAATCCTAAAAATTCCTAGTTCGCTTAAACTAATGCTCTGATACCAACTGTGACATCCCCAAAATCTCGGCCAGAAAAGACCGATTTTCATTTATGCTTTTAAATATTTTCAGAGTAAATCCTTTTGATTTGAAAGAGTTGCGGAATTTGTTCCCAAAAACAAAACATGATAAAACAATGTTTACCAAAGCATTTCATAAAAGAAATGTATTTTTCATTATATAATCAAAACTCGGGGTGTCATGTTCTGATATAGACCAACAAGCATAAACGATAACATTACAAGTCATTCAACAAATATTTACATATACAGACTTGTAAACAAAACAACTTGATGGTTCATCCATCTTACGCCCTTGCGCCACTTCCTGTAATACAAATAAAACTGAGTGGGTCAGGCTTGGGAGCCTGGTGAGCATATAGGATTTTCAACCCACAATAAATAATTGAATTAATTATCATCAACCAACAATAACCCAGTTACCCATTCCCGTTATTCTCACTTTACGTCCCTAAAATAACTAACACAAGGGACCTAATCTTAAGAATATTTTCATCGGGGTGACAACACATCCTGCGGGGTTTCCTCAGCAATATAAGTCAAATAAGGCAACCATGAGGGGGGATGGAATACAGCAAATGAACACCCAAGTTCATTAACACCTATAGGTTATGAGCCTGCTAGCGTTCCACATGACTATCTAGAAAAGTCCGTGGTCGTCATCTAAATTCCGCTAGATGACTGGATCAAAACAACAACGAGGCCTCTCATCTGTTTATTACACACCAACTATCTACCCATGTTCTACCCAACATATTAGTAGATAAAAACATACATTTTTATACATATTTTCAAAACCTGTATAGCATGCTTGATCAATACATTTTCCATATAACAGATGAGGCACACATACATAACACGTATTTCGTATAGAAATAATCATATCTGTAAGATAGAAGAAAGTGAATATACATTCACACACATAACAACAAAATATACACATAACACGTATCTCGTATAAAATACTTCATAGTTATATGTTATGAGAAAGTAACAACGCATTCACACGTATAAACGACAATAAACTTAATACCCTCGAACCATACTTGTATTATTATTGCGTTTATGAAAGGTAGTATACACTCACTTGCTCAGAAGATGATCAGAAAGCACTACGACTCGCAAAAGTAATAATCCTCCGCAGATCTGGAAGATCTCTACGAAAATCGAACTTCTCGCGGGCAGAGCTTCGGCTCGGAAACCGCACATCTCGGGATCTTCGGGATCTCGGGACTCGCTTCGGGACTCGGGAATATTACCGGGGCTTCGGGGGTAAAAACGCAGAGCTTCAGCACAAAAACAAGAGGAAATTAGCAAATAAACCCGGACCCCTCGCATCCTATTTATAAGAGGCTGGAAGCCTCTCGTACGCGGGGCGTACATGCGTACGCGGGGCGTACGTGCCTCAGAAACGTAAGCGCATGCGTCATCCGAAGTGTCGACACTCTTCGGAGTACGCAGGGCGTACTCACTTACGCGGCGCGTAAGTCGGATCAGACCTGTGACTCGCCTTCGGATAATGCTTCCGAATTTTGATTTAAAAATAAATACAAATTAATTAATAAACTTCGGAAATTCATATCTTCTTCATACGAACTCCGTTTTTGACGTTCTTTATATCCACGGAAAGGTGAGACTACGCTTTACGACGTTCGTTTAGACTCCGTCAGCTAATTTTGACTTTATTTTTATTATTTATTTTTAATAGGCCGGGATAGAAAATTTCGTTATAAATTCATAACTTCTTCGTCCGACGTCCGTTCTCGCCTAACTTTTTATCACTTTGATACTAACAACGAGATCTTCGATTCTCGTTTAGATCACTAAGGCTAAATATCGCTTTAACGTAAATTTCACTTTTTACGTTATTCAGCGTTGCCGGTTCTGTCGCGAAACTTCGACAGGTCATAACTTCCTCGTTATAACTCGGATTTCGGCATTCTTTATATCTTCGGAAACCTTGTTTCAACTAATACAACATTATCTAAAGATATTAAGTTTATTTTACACTTAAATTTTGACGCTTATTTTTATTCTTAATTAATCAAACCACATAATTAAGCAATTAAGCACAAATCACATAATACTCAAATAATACAATCTTATTATTTCAAAACGGGTTACAAAGGTTAACCTAGACCATTACATTGCTAAAAATGGCAAGCCCAGAAACACAGGCGTTACAGATGATGGCTTGCTAAAATGATTCAACCTTTGATAATGTTTTCATATACAGGTTTTGTAGAAATTACCCCTCTTCCCAAGCATAATTTTGTTACTGTTGAATAATTGAGCCATCACAAAGACTTTGGGTTTTTATTTTGACAAGTATTCAATGCCCATGTAATTGTGTAGAAGAAATTAATGGAGCAGATTTTTATTTTTTTCATTTATGCTGTTCTATGTTCTTCTCAATAACATTATCAAAAAACAATTTGACAAATTCTGAACTTTTGACTATTTTTAGTTTGCTAAAACTTGAAGTACAACACATTTACCTATCTTTTGGGCTTTTAGAATGTTCTATCTTGAAAGTCAAAGAAACAATATTGAATTTAATACTTGAGAATAGCATATATATACCTGCATTGGGTTAAGATCATCCCAAGGAATCTTCTCGGTGTTAATTTCCCAGAATACCACACCATAGCTGTTTACATAAGACCTAGAGATTGACAACAAACAAAACAAATACAAGATTCCAAAATTCATGAAAAAATATTTTCTTTTTCCTCGTACACAAACTTACTTTTCATCTGCTTGCTCATTACATAGAATTTCTGGAGCCATCCATTGAGGCTACAAAAAGGAACAAGAAATCAGTCAACGTAATGAAGTCAAACCTAGCTATAGAATTTCTGGAGCCATCATACCCATGACCCATATGTCATCCATGGGTGTTACAATGACACTATAAGCAACTATTGTTGGAATAGTGTCTAAGGCTGTAACTATATTCGGTTATGCATGGTCCTTTTGGGTTGCCTTCACCATAGCAACTTGAAGGATGATTTGTTAAGAGAGAGTAAATATTATAAGGAATAATATTTAGCTATTTGATTAATATAAGTCATAAATTAATTGGTATTAATTTGGTGACTTAAAGAGATTAATTAAATAAGAGGGTATAAACTGTCAATTGTTTGATAGTTAAACTTTAGACTGTAAATCCATTAGGGTTGACTTTGGACGGATTCTAAGAGCTTTAGGATAGCTCAAAATCGTCCATAAGGATATCTATTGAATGGATTTGGATAGCCTTAAGTGAAGATTATCCAATTAGGGTTTTAGGGTGAAACCCTTAAGGAGTCTAAAGGTAGAAATAGGCCCTTGGGGTGTGGAATTCGTGGACAATCTTTCAGAACCTAAAGCAAGGAACCTCTGGTCGAATTCCATCCCCTCTCCTCTCTCCTAAATCATCTTGCTTGCTATTGGTGTTTGTAAGCCATTAGAGGAGTGACATTTGTGACTCTAGAAGCTCCAAGACAAGAAGATCAACAAGGAACTCAAAGGTATGATTCTAGATCTGTTTTAATGTTGTTGTTTAACCTAATTAGCTATTAGAAGTCTTGGATTCAAAGCATGTTTATTAGAAAGCCTAGATCCAAGCAATAGGGTTTTGCATGCGCACATAGGAAAGTTCTTATGGCTAAAACCCAACAACTATCACATGACCCATGACCCATATGTCATCCATGGGTGTTACCATGACATTATGAGCAACTACCACATGACCCATGACCCATGACCCATATGTCATCCATGGGTGTTACCATGACACTGTAAGCAACTAACACATTGAACCATGACCCACACGTCTTTTATATATAAAATTTGGTTCAAACTTAGCAACATAAAGATGTATAGTTTATTATTGTTTAATTCTCGTTTAGAATTTTAAATGAAAATTATGTTATGAACACCTCGTTACTCTTTATTGTTTCTTGACATTATATACCCTTTCTATCAAGATGGAACTATAAAAATTTAGAATTACTAAATATTTTGCACTAATTTATATAGTTTGAA